TTGGCAAGAGAGAAAGGAAGAACCACGACTGGTTCAACACCAACCTGTCAACGATGGAGCCAGTCATCGAAGCCAAGCGCAAAGCCCTTCTGGCATACAAGAACTCCCCCAGTGAGAGGACACTCACAGCACTTAGAACTGCACGTAACAATGCACAGAGAGTTGCAAGACGATGTGCCAACGACTATTGGCTGAAACTGTGCGAGGACATCCAACGTTCAGCTGACAGTGGGAATGTTCGTGGCATGTTTGACGGGATAAAGAAGGCAGTTGGACCAGAAGTGAAAAAGACTGCACCACTCAAGTCTGCAACAGGCGAGATCATCACTGATCGTGAACAGCAGATGAAACGATGGGTCGAGCATTATTCAGAGCTCTACTCCCGGGAAACAGTGGTCACAGACGCCGCTCTGGATGCCACTGACGACCTGCCAGTGATGGAAGAACTCGACCAAGTGCCAACGTTAGATGAGCTTAGTAAAGCCATCGACATGCTGCCCAGTGGAAAAGCGCCAGGCAGTGACAGCATTCCAGCCCAAGTGATCAAAGGTGGGAAACCAGCATTGCTACAGCCTCTGTACGACCTACTTTGCCTGTGTTGGAAGGAGGGTGCAGTTCCCCAAGACATGCGTGACGCCTCCATCGTGACTCTGTTTAAGAACAAGGGCGACCGCAGTGACTGCAACAATTATAGAGGGATCTCGCTGCTCAGCATAGTCAGGAAGATGTTTGCTCGAATCCTTCTCACCAGGCTCCAGAAACTGGCTGCCCGAGTTTATCCAGAGTCTCAGTGTGGCTTCAGGGCAGGACGGTCGACTACAGACATAATCTTCTCAGTGCGCCAGCTTCAAGAGGAGTGCAGAGAGCAGGGCAGACCACTATATCTGGCATTCATAGACCTGACCAAGGCTTTTGACTTGGTCAGCAGGAAAGGCCTGTTTCGTCTCCTGGAGAAGATTGGATGCCCCCCTCAGTTGCGCAGCATGGTGGTTTCTTTCCACGAGGACATGAAGAGCACTGTTTTGTATGACGGATCCTGCTCAGAACCCTTCCCCATCACAGGTGGAGTCAAACAAGGCTGTGTGCTCGCACCGACACATCTTTTTCTCCATGCTTCTGAAGTATGCGTTCAGCTCCTCTGAGGACGGCGTCTACCTTCACACTCGCTCTGACAGAAAACTGTTCAACCCTGCTCACTTGAGGGCAAAGACGAAGGTGTCAGAGATCTGCATCAGGGAGATGCTGTTTGCGGACGATGCAGCATTGGCCTCGCACACTGAGGAAGCACTTCAGAGACTCATGGACAGATTCGCCCATGCATGCAATGAGTTTGGACTCACGATCAGCCTAAAAAAGACCAACATCAGTGCACAGGATGCAAGCCATGCTCCCTCCATCAGCATCGGTGACTTCACCTTGGAAGTGGTAGAGGACTTTACCTATCTGGGTTCAACCATCTCTACCAGCCTGTCCCTTGACACAGAGATAAACCGGTGGATAGGGAAGGCCGCAGCAACCATGGCCAAGCTGTCGAAAAGGGTGTGGGACAACAAGATGCTGACAGAGAACACCAAGATGCGCATCTACCAGGCCTGCGTTCTCAGCACCCTCCTCTACGGTAGCGAGACGTGGACTACCTACATGAGACATGAACGCCGCCTGAACACCTTTCACTTGCGCTGTCTCAAACGCATCCGGGGCATCACCTGGCAGGACCGAATACCGCACAGCGACATCCTGACCAGAGCTGGTATCTCCAGCGTGTTCGCCCTCCTAAGCCAGAGACGTCTACGCTGGTTAGGACATGTGTGGCGCATGGAGGATGGCCGTATCCCCAAAGACTTGCTTTACGGCCAACTGGCCACTGGCACCAGACGCCCAGGCCGACCTACCCTCAGGTTCAAAGACGTCTGCAAACGCGACATGAAAGCCTGCAACATCAAGCCTGAAGTCTGGGAGCCAGCTGCCGACGACCGCGACCACTGGCGACAAGCAGTGCATAGAGGGAGCAGACTGGCCGACGAAGCACGCTTCCAACAGGCAGCAGAAAAAAGGTCCCGCCGCAAGGAGAGGGCAGCCTCCGCTTCGTCTGTGCTGTCCGGCTTCATCTGCACGAACTGCAACAGAGACTGTCACTCCAGAATTGGGTTACACAGCCACAGCAGGCGCTGTTCACAACCCTAGGAGAACCTTACCACCAGGCGCATCAGCATTGTCCTCCGGGATTGCACTGCCAACGACGATTATTATCGTTAATAATATTACTGTTGTTAGTATTATTATCATCATTATTATTATCGTTACTATCATTACACTTATTATTATCATTATTATTATTATTATCATTATTATTACTATTATTTTATCATTATCATTACTATTATTATCATTATACTAGTTTCACAGTTGATGTTACTGGTATTTTTCTCTTGTCTTTATTTTTGAGACTCTTCACGGGGCACTGCCTGTGTCCTAAGTGTCGAGGATTCTTCTTAATATTCCAGCTGAGCTGAGTAACACACTTTTTTGTATTAGGCCAGGATGTATTCTGTCACACCCAATTCTTTTTAGATATTCATCCAGCTTTGGTGGCATAGCTCCTAATGCTCCTATCACTATTGGTATTACTTTTCCTTTCATCTTCCAACATCTTGCCATTTGGAACTTAAGATCTTGATATTTTTCTATTTTTTCTCTTTCTTTTTCCATTATTCTGGAATCGTATGGTACCGCTATGTCTATAATGTCAAATTCTTCTTTGTCTTTTCTTATTATTACTATGTCTGGTCTTCGAGCTTGGACCTCTTGGTCTGTTTGTATGTATTGGTCCCATAGTAATTTTGTGTTTTCATCTTCTACTACTGCCTGTGGCTCGTGCTTGTACCATACGTCTGCTGTACTAGGGAGTTTGTGGTGTTTGCAAAGTGCCCAGTGTACTGCTGTGGCTACTTTGTCGTGCCTCCTTTTATACTCCTTCTGTGCCAATTTGGAGCATTCACTGGTGATGTGATTTATGGTCTCATCCTTTTGGCCGCACATTCTGCACTTTGTATTTCCCCCTCTACCTTCTATTCTCGCTCTTATTACTCTGGTTCTTAGAGCTTGATCTTGGGCTGATGTTATTAGTCCCTCCGTTTCTTTTTTTATTTCTCCTCTTTTTAACCAGTTCCAGCTGTTCTTGCCCTGGATTTCTTGTACTTGGCGATGGTATTGCCCTGCGAGAGGTTTTTCTATCCATTCAGTTCTTTTCTCCTCTGTCATTCTCTCTTTGTATGATTTGCTATCTTCGTTTTCTTTTATTATATTGTTGGTCCAGGCCAATCTTAGGATTGGGTTGGTAGATTCCTTTATATATTTGGCCCAGGGCGCAGCATTCGGTTCTGATGGCTTCTTCTGCGCTTATTAATCCTCTACCTCCTTCACTTCTCTTTAAGTATAATCTTGCTGTGCACGCTCTTGGATGCAAAGAATGGTAGATAGTCATCAGTTTTCTGGTTTTTCTGTCTATTTTCTGTTGTTCTAGCTTTGTCCAGTCTATTATACCTGCCGAATATCGTAGCACAGGTATAGCCCAGGTGTTGATGGCTTTTATCGTGTTCCCTCCGTTTAGCTCCGATTTTAGGATAGCTCTTATTCTTTTGAGGTATTCTCTTTTAATTTTTGCTTTCATATCTTCATGTTTTATGTTATCATATTCTAATATCCCTAGATATTTGTAACCGTCTGTTTCGATATTTTTGATGATGTTTTCCCCGACTTCGATTCCGTCAGTATGTGTTACTCTTCCATTTTTGATGTTTAACACTCCACATTTATTAATTCCGAATTCCATGCCGATGTCCTGGCTGAATTGCTGTACTTCTTTTACTAATGTGGTTATCTCATTTTCATTGTGTGCAAATATTTTAAGATCATCCATGTATAGTAGATGGTTTATTTTATAATTTTTATTGATCTTATATCCTTCTTTCTTCTTATTCAGCATTGTTGTTAAGGGTATTAATGTCATTATGAATAGCAGAGGAGACAGTGAGTCTCCTTGAAAAATACCTCTTTTGATCTTTACCTCGCATAGTTCTTTATCTTCCGCTGTTAACATTGTCCTCCATTTTTCCATGCTGTTTTTTATTAGGTTCACGATGTTATTAGGTGTTCCCATTAATTTTAAGCATTCTAATATCCAGGAGTGTGGGACCATATCAAATGCTTTTTTATAATCAATCCAAGCCATTGATAGGTCTTTTTTCTTTTGTTTGGCTTGTTTTAGTATGAGCTTGTCTATGAGGAGGTGGTCTTTTGTTCCTCTGGTCCCTTTTCTACATCCTTTTTGTTCTGGAGGGATGATGTTGTTTTCCTCAAGATGTTGGTACAGGTGTTCGTAAATTGTACCGGTAAGCAATTTCCACATTAATGGTAGGCAAGTAATTGGTCTGTAATTTGTTACTCTATTTCCTAGCGCTGTATCTTTTATTATTAAAACGGTCCTGCCTGTTGTTAGCCATTCTGGGGTTTGACTTTCTGTTATTATCTGTTGTAAATTTGTTGTTATTCTTGAATGAAGTGACCTAAAGTTTTTAATCCAATAACCTTGTACTTGGTCAGCTCCGGGTGCTTTCCAGTTTGCTGTTTTTGCTAGTTGTTTCCTAATTGCTGTTAAGGTTATTGTAAAGTTATTATTGTTAGATGTTACTTTTTCTTTTTTTATTTCTTTTAACCATTCAGCTTCTTTGTTGTGTTCTTTACTTGTTGTCCATATTCCTTCCCAATATTCTTTCGTTTCGTCGGGGTCGGGAGGTGGTAATCTTTGTTGTTCTGTTTGGTTTCCTTCTCGCAGCGAGGAATATAGCCTTCTTTGGTTGTTGTTAAATTGCTGGTTTTGGTGGTAACCCTTAACTCTTTTCTCATATCTTCTAATTTTTGCAGTGTTTGCTTGTATTCTTTGTTTAATTTTCTCCTCTGTTGCTGCTGTTCCATTCTGTAATAGTTGGTGTTTCCTTTCTATTTCATATCTTTTCCCTTCGTCTCTTAATCTACCTTCTCTTATTTCTTTGATCCAACTTAGGTGTTTCCGCAATAGTTGTATCTTCTTTTCTATTCGGTGTTTCCAAGGAGGGTCCTTTTTTCCTTTTTCTTTCTTTGTTAGTTTAACGTCTAATATGTTTAATATTAATTTTGCTGCGCTGTAAATTAGTTTATTGGTTTCTGTGATGTTATTCGTTGGAATGAATTTTAGTAGTGCATCTACTTTATTAGTTACATGTAGCAATTTCTTATTTTCAGTCTTCTTTCCAGGTGGTAGCACTTCGTGGTCTCTTGATTCTAGGGTGTTCTTGTAAATCTCTCTAAGTTTTTCGAGTAGGTCCCTATCTTCAGGAGGTAAGTTTTCTTCTGTCTGTTCGTTTTCTATATGTGCTGTTTCTGGTTCTTGTATGATTACGTTTGGACTCTCGTGGGTACTGTTCTGGTTGTTATTTTCAATTGGGTTGTTACTAATTTCATTATTGTTATCATTAGTTGTGTCTTCATTATTATTATAGTTGTTAACTCCACTAGCACTTCTATCTTCACTTCTATTGGTGTTATTATTATTATTATTATTATTACTATTATTATTATTATTATTGTTATTATTACTATTATTATTATTATTATTATCACTATTATTATCATTATTATTATTATTATTATTATTGTTATTATTACTATTATTATTATTATTATTATCATTATTATTATTACTATTATTATTATTACTATTATTATTATTATTACTGTCATTGTTATTATAATTTTTATCATTATCAGTGGTAGTAGTAGTATCATAATTATTATATACTACCTTAATCATCAATATTATTTCCATAATTACTGTTAAAATTATCTCCATTTTAATTATCATTATCATTTTTATTATCGTTATTGTTATTTTCTCGTTGATATCATCATTGCCATTTTGGTGATTTTCATTATCATGATCAGCATCGATGTCATTATTTTCATCATTATCATCAATATTTCATCAGCTTCATTATCATTTCGATGACAAAATATCATAGACAGTAATAATGGTGATAATGATGACGATGACCACAATCTAAATTATAATCATAAGAATAATTTAGTCACCCTTCCATCGTCGGTCCTCCTCCCCCTCCCCCCTCCCCCCCCGCGCCGTAACTCCTTCTCCCCCTCTCTCGTTGTGCAATAAACTTTATTTTCTACCATGACGCAATCAGCTTCACTTTCATCCCTGCTTCGATATTTCTCCTCACTTGTCACTCTCACTTTCACAAGCGTGTAGTTTCACGTAAACACACACATACACACACACATACACATACACACTAATACACACACATACACACACACACACACACACACATACACACACACTTACACACACAAACACACATACACACACACACACACATACACACACACATACACACACACACACACACACACACACACACACACACACACACACACACACACACACACACACGCACACACACACACTAATACACACACATACACAGACACACACACGCATACACACACAGAGGGAGAAGAACGAGGGGAGGGAGGGAGAGGGGATTTGAGGGGAGGGAATGGGAGGGAGGGAAGGAGGGGAGGAGGGAAGGAGGGAAGGAAGGAGGGAGGGAAAGGGAGAGAGGGAGGGAGAGAAGGAGGGAGGGAGGGAAATGAAGAGAGGGAAAGGGAGAGAGGGGAGGAGGGAGAATGGGAGGGGAGGGGAGAGGGAGAGACAGCCAAACAGACAGACAAACGCACACAAACACACACACAACATACAGGCAGAGGGAGAGAGAAAGGCAAAGGGTAATTGCCTCCTGCAGACCGACAAACAGACAGATAGATAGTTATAAGAAAAAAGAGACAGAGAAGTATTCTCTTTTAATTTTTGCTTTCATATCTTCATGTTTTATGCTATCATATTCTAATATCCCTAGATATTTGTAACCGTCTGTTTCGATATTTTTGATGATGTTTTCCCCGACTTCGATTCCGTCAGTATGTGTTACTCTTCCATTTTTGATGTTTAACACTCCACATTTATTAATTCCGAATTCCATGCCGATGTCCTGGCTGAATTGCTGTACTTCTTTTACTAATGTGGTTATCTCATTTTCATTGTGTGCAAATATTTTAAGATCATCCATGTA